TTAGGAATGAGGAAGGTGTGCGCGAAGCTCGTGCAAAAAGTGCTAACGGACGATCAAAAAGCGAGGCGCGTCGAAACCTGCCAAGAACTTTTGGACACCTGCGAAGACAACCCCGCTTTCCTTGATGACGTCATTACCGGGGACGAAAGTTGGGTCTTTAAATACGATCCGGAGACGAAGAGGCAAAGTGCGGAATGGCACACGTCGAACTCCCCTCGTCCCAAGAAGGCCATGATGTCCAGGTCAAAGATCAAGACAATGCTGATTGTTTTTTTTATTGCTGAGGATTGGTCCATCATGAGTTCGTTCCGCAGGGGACAACCGTAACCGGAAAGTTTTACGTCGAGGTGCTGAAGCGACTGAAACGCAGGGTGAATCGCGTCCGCCCAGACATCTCAAAATCCTGGAAGCTTCACCATGACAATGCGTCTTCGCACACCTGGTTCCTCGTGACCGATTACCTCGTCAAGGCAGGCATCACCGTTGTTCCCCAGCCTCCCTACAGCCCCGATGTGGCCCCCCAGACTTTTTTCTGTTTCCGCGCCATAAAACCCCAATGAAAGGACAGCATTTTGGGTCGGTGAAAAACATTCAGAAGGCTTGCACCGACGCCTTAAAGGCGATTCCGGAAAACGACTACCGTGCGGCTTTTGATGCGTGGAAGACCCGCTGGAACCGATATGTGGACGCAGGAGGAATGTATTTTGAGAGTTTCTAAAGATTTGTACACATAGAACCAATAAAAACCATTTTTCAAAGCTCACTGACATTACTTTCCGGACAAACCCTGTAGTTATTATTTAGAAAATAAATAATTAGAAAATGGTTCTAAATTTGGAATAGATGTAGGTATATCGAAATTATATGAAGAAATAAACATGTCTAGAACATTCAACTAGATATAAAGATTGTTACAATAATCGAGGAACTGTTGGGTTGGTTAAAAAGAAGTATATCAACAAAAAATTATTTTCAATTTCATTAAAGAAGAATCCACAGAAACATATTTCAGTTTGGACATAACTTTTTGATTACTAACGAGTGAGAGTAATAATGAGTAATGAGTAACATTGTTACGATGCCTACGATGCCCGCGATGCTGTTTTCACGATTACAGACTCGCATCGCTGTTCAATCTAATGCTAGGTCATCGGCGATTTATTAATCGATTACATTTTTACTTACTCGTGTAGGCCTCTAATACGTACTTAATAATAAGTATTTTTATATCAAAATGGAAATAAGATATGCTGCTTACAGTCCAATTTACATTAAATAATATTTTCAATAAAAAAATAAATTCTGACAACTTTGCCAATCACCGGAAAGACATTCCAAAATAAAAGGGGATTTATAACTTTAATTATTCCGTTCAGTTTTCCTCCGGATTTGAAAAACGTATTAAACTGCTCGTCATAATTAGCGTAAACTTTTTAGATTAGCGCCGTTTGCGTTCTATTCGAGTTAGAGAATTGCGGTTTCTAAATTTGGGTAGCCTCTAGGGTTGGTTTTCATGCCCTGAAGGTGCTGCGTTGTGACTTAAGCGGTTCGCTGTCCACATCCCAAAAACCAATTCCACGTCGAAACTTGAATTTGCAATATTTTGACGGCAATTCAGAAACTTACAGGGTGGACTAAGAAGGACGCTGTCGGGTAAAAACTCCATCCCGGCACGTACTAAGACTTCCTCAATAGGTTCTGTGCATTTGGTCTCTGAAGATATGGGGTATGGAGATTACGGGGTCTGGAAATGTCCAGACCCCGTAAGTCACCCCTTTGCATTTACGCTGGGGTTTGCGTGGTTTGATCTCTGTTGGGCGAATCAAGTAATCCTAATGCTGCCTCAAGACCCTCAATTTTTAAGGGGTAGGTTGGAGGTGGAATTTCACTTTTGGCGCTCAATCGGCCATCCGCAGTGGGTCCCGTCAACTTCTAGAGCCTTCAAGTAAGGCCATGACATGAATTCGAGACAACACGAAATCTCACACAGCCTCCTACAGGGGCGGGACCAGAGGTGGTGGATGGGGAGTTGGACGTGCGACCTGGAGGGGTGCTTGAGTTGTCAAAGGGTGAAAGCAAGTTGTGGCATTCCACATCAATTTATTTGGCTGTGTAGGAATAATGTATTCGCCCAACAGAAGTCATACCACGCCAAACCCAGCGTAAATGCAAAAGGGTGGTTTATGGTGTCTGTAAATGGGTTGACGAGATGCGGCAACGACTAAATGCAGAGAACCTATTGAGGAGGTCTTAATGTATGCCGGGATAGAGTTTTTACACAATAGGGTTCTTCTTAATGTAAGTCTCTGAATTGCAGTCAAAATCTTGAGAATTCATATTTCGATACGGGGTTGGTTTTTGGGGTGTGGACGGCGAACCGATTAAGTCACAACATACCGTCTTCTGGGCATTAAAACCAACTCTAGAGGCTACCGAAATTTAAAAACCGCAAGTCTCAAACTCGAATAGAACTCAAATGGTGGTAACCTAAAAAGTGTAACGCTAATTTTGACGAGCAGTTTATTTTCATCTTTGCAAACAAAACTCATCATAATTGTTTTTTTTACGAAAATTTATCTGATAGCTGTGGAATTAAGTAGTAACATTTTATATATGTATATGTATAAGCTACTACATGCAAAAATATCGTTCAATTAAATCCTTGGTAATTAGTAAAGGGAGTATATACCTTCATACATGTGTAAAATATAGCGTGAACAACAGAGTTCCCCATCAACAGGCCCAGAAGGAAAGTACCAAAGTCTGTCACGTCCGTTGTATACAACAAAAGTCCCGCTACAAGCATTGCATAATTTGCAACATTTGCTATAAGGAGCAAAATAAATCGGGCTGAAAGAAATCATTCCATTAAATATTAAATAAAATGAAAACATAATCGTGGAGTAGAAAAAAGTTAATGGTAAATAATTACTAACAAATAATCTAACAAACTATACTATTATATAAACTATACTATATAGTTTTCAATTATTTTTTTATTATCAACTTGAATGGTAGGTAATTAAAAGTAAATAAAAAACAGTGAACAGAGCAATTTATCATTTACCTTTTCGAATGGGTTTAAAGGCATCACTGCAAAACCCTTTCCTCACAATGTCTGTTTTGAATTGTTTCAGACCATCCAAGACGTAATTCATGAAATAAATTTTAAAAGACAAGACTATGCAGAGGACAGTATAGCAGACAACGAAGATTATCCATATTGCTAGACTGCCATTCAGTATCCCAACCATTGCTAAAAAAGGATTATTTACAATACAGTAAAAGCTCCTTCTTCACGGTTCCCTTATTCGCGCTTTCAATATTCCCGGGTTAAAAAATTGTTACCAAGTTCTTGTATTCGCGGCTAAAAATTTCTTTATTCGCGGATCCAGTCGGTATATTAAAAAGATTCGGTGTCCTTGATTAACACATCGACATCTTTTGAGTAATGTATGTAAATATAAAGAATAAAAAGTAAAAAAAAGAATCGTCGGAAGAACTGAAAACACATTGAAATCATGCTGGAACAAACTGTGACCTCTTCTGACAGGCGGAAATGATGAAGAATCTGTGAATGAAGAATCTGAAGAATCTGTGCAAATTCAAAGTTTAACTGCAAACATTGCTCAAGTTGCGAATGGAATGATGGAGATGGCTTTGAACAGATAGTGACAGTAGTCAAGTGACATTCAAGAGTTGCTTGAATCGCATGATGAAGATTTGACTGAAACCGACTTGGAGGAAATGTTAAATCTGCATTCCATTGAAGAAGAGGCTTCAACGAGCACTGGAAAGGTGACCTTTAACTTGAAAACATGAGTGAAGGTTTACGGATGGCAAATGAGCTTTGTGATTTCTTCATGAAAATCGATTCGTTTATGGAAAGACTTCTCATTTTTAAAAGGCAATTTGTTAATGCCACAGCTGCATATCGATCTGAATTGAAATACCTTTTAAAAGCGGCAAAACAAGAAAAAATACTATGTTCTCAAACCCTTGCCTAAGCCTAACAATAAAAATTAATAGGTATTGGTAACATCTCTCATTGAATATATTTTATTATGATTTTTTTTTATTTTGAAACCTTGGAATGTATCCCCTATAATCCCATACAAATTCCAATTCCATATTCATGATTTCTGTATTCACGGCATATTTACGAATCATATCCCCCGCGAATAAGGAGCTTTTACTGTATTACTTATTAAGAAAATAATTGAAAACTCTTTTCCATGACATGAAATTAAAAACTTATTCCATATTCCAAAATATTTTAGTCTTGAACTACTATTTTATTACAGTATGGTAAATTTAAACTCTTTAATTTTTTAAATTTTTTTATTAAAATCGATGTATTAGTCACCGAATTAGATCAATAAAAATAATTTGTGAAATATATATACAAATAATAAAAAAACATCCCATCAAAAATCAATAACAGGTTGTAGAAGACGGTTGGTAAAGATAAACCAACGAAACCAAAGTATAGGAGACAACAAAAACGTGTTTGGTTAATGTGACCAACAACAAAGGAATTTAAACTAAATTATTATAAGCATAAAGCATATGCATAAAACCCAATAATTAAAGACGGAATTTTTTAGAGTACTGTAGGAATTTTTACAAGGCGCAATATAATTTATGATTGGAATTAAAAAATATATGTACGAAACCCTGACTATATTTAGTTTCTTTTACTTATATAATTTTTATCTAGTATCAGTGGTATCAGCCTTCCTTTTTTTCAGGCGAAAGTTTTGAAATTTGGAAGTGTGTATCTACTTGGTACATGTATCATAATCAAGACGAAAACCTTACATATTCTAACATAATTGAATTCTTCATAACATTTTCTATAGGCACACTTTTTTTTTGTATTTCGATTAAAGATTTTTCCGAAAAATCCAAAAATAGTTAAACTAAATTTACACTGAAAATATCTTTGATATATTCATCTAATATATATATTCATCTAATATATATATTCATATTCTTAAACCGTGGCGATAGCTCAGTGGGTAAAGCGCCAGGTGAGAAGGTGGCGATTACTCGAGAGCTATTATCTGCGCGGGTTCGAATCCCGCCTGTGGCAATTGGCACATGTCACAGGGTTTGGTTGTGTGTCCTACGTCTTTTCCATGTGTATTCTCCCTCTGCACATTTGTAATGACTCTTAGAGGGAGAATGTCCATTTCTGTGGTGTGATTTATTATTATTATTATTATTATCTGAAAATATTCATCTTTGATATATTTAGTTTATGAATTTGAAGTAATCGAACATTGTAGTTATTACAGAAAAAAGAAAAATATTTTTGAGTGACTTTTTGTATATAAAGCTTTCCAAACACCAACAAACAACTTTACAACAAAAAAAATTCCGAAATTAGCTCACGAAGCTACGCACGTGAGGCCATGGAACATTCTATGTCTTTGGACCCATGACGTCATGCGTCACATACATGATGCTCGATAGAGTTTTTTCCTACCCCAGATTTTGCCCCTTCAGGTTATACGTCGGGCCGGCGAACAGATGTAGTAACCGCGTGACGTGACGCATGACGCAATATTTTCCAGGGGCAAACCCATAATAAAGACCTCTTCAGGTTATACGTCGGGCCGGCGAACAGATGTAGTAACCGTGTGACGTGACGCATGACGTGTCACGACCATAATAAAGACATAGAATGTCAAAAGGAATTGACCAGTTTTTGCAATGAACAATTTTTTTTTCTATAGCTAAACATTTGAAAACTAAAGATAGTTTTAATATTTGTTACACAGCCTTTATTTTAAAAGGTTGTCACCAGAGGTGTCGTCACCAATGTTATGTTGACAATTGTATTGGCAACGCGTCGATTTTGATGTCAAGGTCGACAATTTTTAATACGTCGAGAATGTAAACAATGTCGACAATATCAACAATACCTATAGTAAACTACTTAAAAATATTTCCAGAACTTGTACAAACAAACAAAGTGCTAATGCTGCCAAATGACTACCAAAATCCCAAGAAGGCTAGAACTAAGGAGACCGAAGTCGTTCGGTGTCATGGTCTCATATCTGTCCGCCTCCAGAAGGCGCTATAAGCAGTGCTATGCTCGACGTCACGTGATCTGCGAAAGTCACGTGATGAGCAGCGGACCACATGTGACTTGGCTTTAATAAAAATACAATCCGAATGTTAAATAAATATGGTTCGAAAGTGCTGTGTTGTATTGTGTGATACAAGAAGCGTTCCGAAGCGTCAAAATAACCGGAGATTATTTCAAATTACTGATACGCACACAGATTAGTATAGAACGACACTGCTTACAGCGCCTCTGGAGGCGGACATATCGAGCCCCTCGCGTTATACAGGGTGGTCCAGGTTAAACGTCATTAATTTTGATATGTTATAGAACATTAAAAAAAGTAGACCTTCATAAGAAAACTGTTCAGAAATGTTTCCTAACAAAGATACAGGGTGTCAAAGTTGTGGAAAAAAAACTGGTTTTCTCGATATAAATTCTAAACTACTCGATCGATTTCCATCAAATTTCGCACACAGACTAATGTAGCACATCTCTAAGTAATGATTAAAATCATTTAAAGAAATTCTCCAGTGGCGTAGATATTGGGGGTCGGCACCCCATTCTCCCCTCCTAATCTTCGGAGCCACTGGATATTTTACAAAAATTTATTACACATTATTATTATTACAGATTTTTGGATTCTCTGTTTGATTTAGAAAAAAAAAATTACTTCTGCAAATTTTCGATTTATGGCTTCGTTTTTGAGATATTTATTTTAATTTAGTGTTGCAAGCAAGCTAAAACTTATAACTGAACTACCAAGAAAATACGATATGAGAGGCCAACATTCTTTTAAACATTTTATTACTCACTAGACATAATGTACATCAAAGATACAAAAAAGAGCAAATAAATCTTCACAATTTTTGTTATATTTTCGACCACTCAAAATCCTTTAAAAGCACATATACGATACTGTAAGAAATACGATACACAACAGCAGAATATCAAGAAATAAATATAACCCAACTTTTTTTCATTTACCCACAGAATTAACTTTCTTAATGATTATTTTAAATATCAAGTTCTTTATGTTGTACCTAATGGTGGACGTCATTGCATTTTTGTTTTACAATGCAAATATCCTGGAACCCCCTTTATTTCTTACACGAAAAGGTTTCAAAAGAAAGACTCGAATTACCAATTCGTTTGTATTGTTCAACAGTACCTTAATCACTGCTAGACTTTATTGTGCTCGAAGCGTTGGAGACTAGAAAATGTTGTTTATTGTACCTTTTGATTTGTGATTCATGTCGTATCGCTAATGGGAAGGATTAGATACGGTCACCAACACATTTAAAAGATTAGTGAACCAGTTGAGAGATATTAAACGTATTGATATACAGTGTCCGCTATAAAATTGACTAGATATAGGAAAAATTAGTAATCGTTTCTGGAAGCCCAACAACCAAAAATTCTATTTTGATACGTGTTATGTAACCATGGTGCACCGAGGACTATAGCGATTCTGAATTGTATCTGAGGAAAACTTAGAAAATACAACATTTTATCCGTACCGTTACTATGAAAAATTATTTTTCGTCATAATTTTTTTATGGATATCTTGTTACCATCTATTAATTAAGTCTGTAAGTATTTAGAGGAACAGGAGCACATACAAATATTTTTTGTTATATTATCCTCCCTTTCCTTTCTGCATATTAAGTGTATTATGGTTTATGGGTGAACACAAAAGATATCTTAACACTTACCCATAAAAATAGCGGCACCTAGCACCGTAAATGTGGAATAGGCGGTGGCATTTATATCTGGATGTCTGTTTTGGTAAAGTTTTATCATGCAAAGTACAGCCATAATATACATGAAGCTTGTATCTGTAATAGGTACGAGGTTAACAAAATTACTGATGTAAATATTCATTTCTGTAATAAAATACATATATAGGGGCATAGCTTTCTCGCATTTTGTTATAATTGGAATGAGTCTAGATACTTTTTCTTTTCGTAATTTTCTCATTGGAATTAAATGTTAGAGAACTATTAAGTAATTAGCTTTGCAAAAAAGACAAAAATGATAAAAAAATGCATCGTTTTTATTAGTTCTTTTTTTCTGATACAGGTTACTATGCAGATTACAAATTTCCTTTTTTTTCTTGTTTAGTGTTTAAATCTTTAGATTTTTGTATGTAATACAGGGTATCCCATTATTAAGAGGCCACAGGGAAACTACATATTCATATAATCATAATATAATAATGATTCATGTAATCATCATGTAAAATCATTTCATCAATCATCATCATTTTTTGAGTCATTGAGTTGTTAGATATTTATTGTTTTGTAATCATTTTTTATTCGTGGTGAAAATGGATATTTTACGATATTATACACAAAATATAGAAGGAAAAAATTTTCCTCTAAAGTGAAGGTACAAATTTGCTGGTTGGGGAACTATTGAGGAGAGGAATTTTAATTTGCCAATCAGTTTGATGTCAATTGTAGAGGGCGCTCTCTGCAGTATTCTGAATATACAAAAAAGGTGTAAGTTTTTTGCGTCTTTAATATTGCCTTGCGTCTTTAAAACTGAATATTTATGTTTTTATTGAAAATATCGATTTTTACATCATTTATTGACAGTTAACGTATATTTTTTTAAATGTATACCTGGCTCCGAATGACCGTTTTAGAGATATTTGTGTTTAAAGTGTGCAGTGCAACAACCTATTTAAATCATTGTTGTGAGATTTACAATTATGTAATATCTCATTAACGATGGGACTTGGGCAGCTGATGATCAGGGGCTGTTCACTCTTATGAGCCTACCTGAAATGTGATATTTAGTATGAGACCAACTCTATAGATGGCGCAACCAGCTTAGTTAGTTATGTATAGTTGGTACTGTTAAAAAAAAGAGATTGGTAGTCCGGAAGAACTAGTTCAGTCCATGCGCCCAAATGTTTAATATTTATATTTTGCGTTATGTTCTTACGTCAATATTTCTCTGGGCGTATCGATTGAATTGGTTCTAAGTAAAACCAAAACAAACCTAAGTTTTGTAGTTTTGTGTTTAATTTGTTTCCATGTGTTAGTTTATTTTGTGTTTTATTTGTTTATTGGGTATTATATATTCTTATTTGAGACAGAAATTAGTTGTTAATATTACATTAAAAGAAGGAGAACTAGAACTGGTACCAGATGTGTGTTATAAATGAAACTTCATGTAAAGAAAGTTATGCCTTTACTTTTTTTTAGTTTATATAAATGGCTAGTTGGAAATTATTTATACTTAAATGTGATTGTGTCTTGTGTATAAATGTGATTGTGAATGCGTATAAATGTGGTTGTGAATAAAGGAATCTTACATCTAAAACAATTGATTTTGGTATTTAATGGTTTCAATATCTCAAATATCCTCCTTTTTCATCACAGCATGTCTTTAAAATTTATTTTTTAGACATTATTTCTTGAGGAACGGTTTCAAATACAGTGGACTTTTTAAGTGTTCCCTTATGGACGAAACGTATATAAGTATATTATATGACAAGAATAGCAAAATCATATTTAGTTTATGCTAGATAAGGATAAAAAACTTTATGTAACCAAGTATGATTATGCTATTCTTATATACTTACGTTTTGTCCATAATGGAACTCTTAAGAGTCCGCAAACTGTATTTTATTTATTTTGAATATTTTTTTGAATATAGCGCCATCCGCCATATTAGTTAAAATTAGTTTGAGACCAATTCAAGAGATGGCGCTTCACGGTTTCATTTAATTCTATGAGAGAGTTCCATCTATCTCTTCTTTTATCTATGCTGATGATGCTCTCACTCGAAATAAGACGAGTGACACAAACATGCTTAAATATTTTTCGTTTCCGAAATACAGTGTGTTAAAATTGAAAATCGAATGATAATATATTTTTATTATAACGTATTATTACTTTACCAATGTTGGCAAGAGATTTTATTGTCATAAAGGACATCTAACAGTAGAAAAATAAATGAATATACTTTTGGCAGTGGCGTAGGAAGTGGGTATATAACACCTTTATCCC